TTCGCCCTTACTTTGTTTTCACCTCACATCTAAAAGGATTGAGACGGTGGTCCAGTCGTCTCATCTGTTTCTCAACCGACTCGACTACTATATCGTGATTCGTAGTATTGATATTGCTTCGTCCGACGACTATAGGTAAACTTTGGCAAAATTATTTTTTTTCTAAAAGTCGATATGTTAACTGTGGTAATGAAAAAATTTGCGATAAGGCCGATAAGATACATTATACAAGCCGCGGAAATTTTTTTATGTACTTACGATATTATAATATAATACCTACTATATAGTATATTATACGTATATAGTACATATATAATTTAATTAATTATGTTATGTTGTATCTTGCGCGTTCCTGTGTTTCATTATCATTTATTTTTTATTCATATTTAAATTTAAATTGATAATTGTTTGCCGTTCTGGCTGAACATTGTTGTAAATTCTATCACGTTGAATTAAATATTAAACTTTTAACTACTTCTACTGAAATCTAACACTAATAAGTAGATACTAATAAGTATTATCAATAGTAAAGGAACCGATATTCAGAATGGTTCGTTAAGAATTAAAAAAAAAAATTCGATTTACCTCAACATTTTGTACGCAATATACGTACACAGGTTAGTTACAGAAGTACACATAGGTACATATTATATACTATATATATCATTTTAGTTATATAAAATTAATTGCAGCTGCTTGTGTTATATAACTTATCGGTTTTGTTGTAAATCGTATAATTTTAAATTTTTCTTGCCATAGTTCATCATCTCCTTCACCCGCCATTATCGCCTAATTCTATGAATAGCTCAGTACGTATGTTGTATTTATTAGGTACATTTATTAGTGCGTAGTATAAACACACGCATGCGTACAATATTATTTAGGATACATAGTTAACAACCAGTTACAATTGAAAATAATTTTTCAATAAATTAAAATATATTTTTCTTTGCTTGTGTTATAATTATTGAAGAGACGTCGTCTCAGTTTATCCCAACGTACTACCTTATGTTATACTGTCTATGTTTTATTCTCCAATAGGAGCAATTTGAGAAAGGGAGGAGCGATTAACGTAGATAGAGTTTTTTAATTCATGTGATTTTTTTCGTACGTGGAGAGAGGGTATTGTTAATACGAGTATGTGATTTGATGCGTTTGTTTGAATCCGCGATTCGCCAATTAAATTCGTTATCTGAACAGTCCGTCTGAATTGACTTCTCTGTTGCGTATTTAGTCGGTTTTTGTAATAGATAACGGTGATATACATTTATTTGGTTTATTTTTAGTGTTATTGATGATGGCTTGTTGGAATTCATATTGCAAAATAATTTTATTTGGCCCACGGATTGCGGCAGGTGGCCGACGAGGTGATAGTGGTGAACGATGCAAGTTTAATTGATTATTTATTTAGGTTTTTTTTTTTTTTTAACAGTATATAAAATATAAATTAAATAAAATGTAGAGTAATTGAGTTTTATTTCATAATGCATTATTATGATGTAATTATCACGATAAGCGCGGAGCGATAGTGCACGTGTGTGTCGGTCGGCTGCTACTACGTAACTGTATAAAGTTTAAAAAAATAAAATATGTTGTGCACGTTTTACTTTTTGCTAAAATATGAATTGTTGAATTTTACTTTTATGATTTTCCATTTCCAATAAAATTATAATAATAGATTTGTGTGAAGACCTAAGTTTTATACAGCACGGCGCTTCGTATAGGCAATTCAGGTACGTTTATGCCAACAACTTTTTCTAGCCTCATCGCTCTTCATTCACATGACACGGAGGACAACAACGAAATCAGTTTAATATAAATACATGTAAATTGCTCATTTGATATTTTTCATTGGATGCGATTTCTAAGACTGTTGTTGACAAAAATAAATTTTACAATTTATTTACATTTTACATTTAAAGAGAAAATGCGACGAATACAACAGGAATATATTTTCGTTTTTTGGGTTTGATAATCATTTTTTAAATTTTTTTTAATTTTGAACAACACGATTAAAAATATAATTAACATAATTGTTTTTGACAAATCAGGAGTTTATATCTGATAATTTTTTTCAATTAAATTTTGAATAAGATTACCTGTCATTCCCAACGATTTTTTTTTCTTACAATAAGTTTACCCTTACCAATATAACTATAAATCATTTGCTTGAAATTTAAATATAATATAACAGGTAATTATTTTTAATTATAATTCACTAATATCTAAATTATGGTTAAATCTTACCACAATAAAGTACGCGCATTCGAGTACAAATTCAAAGCAATTCCATAATAAAACAAGGTGTATGACTGACAAGTGATTTTCGGTGCCACATTATATACAGTTAGTTGTAAAAATACATGATTTTTGAAGATTTTAGTAAAAAAGATTAATATAGTGATAATTTCATGAAAAAAAAAAAAAACGAAAATCTTACGTGGTAAAAAAATATTTTAACATATCCATAGTGTATCATACCGTTAAATTTATCACATCATTTGTAAAAATAGTTTAGTTCAAAAATAAACCATAAACGGTAATGAAGAAGAAAATTATCGATCAAAAATGCATAGTAAATGATGAAAGAGTAGACATTTTAAATGCTATTGGAAAAGTTTTCAACAATTTTTTTGATTTAAGTATTCGAAAAGTTATAATTATTTCTTCGCGTTTTGTTTTTTCCTTAACGTTCCTTCATTTAGTTTTTTTTTCTAGATTACGATATTTTTTATCATTTTCACGCTCTGTGAAATTTATAACTTATATAATTATTTGGGAATTTTTTATAAAGCGTCAAATTAATGTTTTTTATAATACATGCCGAAAGAATGTTGCTGAAAGAAAAAACATTGCATGCGAGGGTGGATCTGGAAATATGAAATAGGGAGAGGCTAATTTGTATTTGCAGAAATATTTTAGTTAATACAAATGTGTATTAATTATAGTATATTTTAAAATTATAAAATATGAAAAATTAATTAGTTCATCAGTCTTTTGACCAATCTTCAATAAAAGACATACCTATTGAGTATTTATTATATTATTTTTCTTTAGTATTTAATCCTAACATTGGTTTGTAGCAATTATCTACTCTTCCATGTTACTTGCCTTTCTCTTTGTCTCTTCATAAGAAGTACACCCTTGGTCCTCTATTATTTATTGCATTATTTCCATTCATGGTTTTCCCCTATCATTTTTTCCTTTCACGTAGCCTTCTATAATTAATCCTAGCAACCCACCATATCTCAAAACATGTCCAATCCATTCATTTCTCCTTTTCTTGATACTATTCCATAGAGTTCTTCCCTCGGACATTCTTTCTAATACTTCCTCAATTGTTACTATATCCGTCCAACTTATTTTGAGCATTTTTCTGAAACACCATATCTCGAAAGCTTCTATTCTTTTCCGCTCTTCTTTGGCAATCGTCCAAGTTTCATTGCCATACAGCATTATACCATACATATGTCTTCAGAAAATTTATTCTGGTGCGTATGCTAATTTTTTTTTTGAAGTAAAAAGTTCTCTTTTTTTGTTAAATGCTATCTTAGCTTGGCATATTCGCTTTATTATTTATTTTTTGCTTCTGCCATCTTTACTTACTATGCTTCCCAAGTATGCGAACTCTTCTACTTGCTTTATTTCTTAGTTAATTTGCAGATGTTTTTTCTATATCAAAAAAAGCTATATATGTAGGCTTGTCTTTTCTAATTCTTTTCTCGATTGCCATATTCTTCCCCTGTACCCATGTTTTTTTCTGAATCCAAACTGGACTTCTGACTGTATGGCTTCGATTTTATATTCCAATCTTCTTGACATAATTATTGTCAGTATTTTTAACATATGTGTCAGCAAGCTAATTGTACGGTACTGATCACATTTTTTTGCGGTAGCTTTTTTCGAAGTAGGAATAATCTTACACTTAGTAAAATCTAGAGGAAGTTCTCCTGAGTTAAATATCTCCTTTATGAGTTTAAAAAGCTTACTGTGCATGTTTTCACCAAATTCTTTCCAAAGTTCTGCTTGGATTTCGTCAATTCCTGCAGCTTTCTTCTTTTTTAAATCTCTAAGTGCTTTATAAAATTCTTCTCTCAGTACACTATAATTTGAACTATTATCCATTACTTCTTCATGCTCTATTTCTTGTCCCGTGAGTTCTGGCCCCTCATATAACTGTTCTAGATATTTCTTTTATATGTTCCCTTTATATTTGTTCTCGTAAATAATTACTCCGTTGTTATCCTCTATTTCCCCCCCTTTTTAGTTTATAATCTTTAAAGAAATTTTTAACTAATTTATACGCTGCATCTCTGCTACCATTTCTCATTTGTACAAAAAAGTACTTTAAAAAAATTTCTTTTGCTTCTTTTAACTTTCGTACTACAAGATTTCTTAGTTCTCTATATTTCCGCTAATTTTCAAGAGTAGTTCCATTCATAAGCTTTCTTTTTTCTTCTATTATACTTCCTATCTCTGTTGTAACCCATTCTTTCCTAGGTACTGTCGTTTTATTTTTTTCAGAGTCTTTGATGCTGCTTCTGTCTCTTCATAATACCCCACCTATTGTTTATATCGGTTCTCTTATTTATATTTATATATTGTTTGTAAGTTCTTTAAATTTTTCATTTGCATTTTTTTCTTTTAATTTATTTGTATGCCATCGATCATTGTTTCTCCTTGATACTATTTTCTTGAACTTTAAGTTACTTTTCTTCATTAATAGGTTATGGTCACTATCTATGTCTGCTCCTTGGTAGCTTCTGCAGTCTTTTGTCTTTTACTTGATTTATAAATCTCTTTTTGACCATAATACAATCTATTTGATATCTACCTGTCTCCCAGCATTTTCCATGTATACCTTCTTCTTGGATAGTGACTGAAGTAGGTATTTATTATTAATAACTTGTGTTTTGAAAATAAATCTTTTAATCTTTCTCCTCTTTCATTTCAGTTTCCTAAATCAAAATTTCCTATTATGTGCTCTAGGCTTTCTTTTCCTACTCAGCGTTCCAATCGCCTATAATGATAAGATTATCATCTCCTTTAACTATTTCAATGACTTTTTCTATCCCTTTATAGATTTCTTCCATTTCTTTCTCACTGCTATTAGTACTAGGCATGTAGACTTGAACTATAATTGTATCTTTAGGTTTTATTTCGATTTTGAATGCTATTATTCTTTCATTGTACTGTACAAATTTTTTAACTTTTTTCCCAAAAGCCTTACTCATTATTATGCCTACCCCTCCAATTCCTGGGTTATTCTCCGCTGTTCCTGAATGTATCAACCTATATTCCCCTCTCCATAGATCTCCAGCTCTTAGCCATCTTATTTCTGACTGGCCAAGGATATTAATCTTCATTCTTGCCATTTCTATTTTCAATTTTTCTAGTTTGCCGCATTGCAACATGGTTCTAATTTTCCAAGTAGCTATTATTTTCTAACTCTTAACATTTCCTTCTTCTCCAGCAGTCCCTATCCGGAGATCCGATTGGGGGACTATTTTACCTCCGGAATATTTCACTTTAGAAGACGTCATAATATTGCTAACCCTTGGGATAATTTATACGGTGGTCTCCCCTTTCCTTCCGTATCGCAGTACAGCCACCAGTTATACAGTTCCCGTATCTGCTGGCTGCTGTTTTGTGTGTAGCTATTTCTACATGGGTGTAGGTTACTTGTACCTACACCTAATATTGTAGTAGCTGCTGCCCTACTACAAGTCCCTTTCAGTCGCTTTTTACGACAGGCAGGAACAACCGATAGTCTATTCTAACCCCGACCAATAGGGTTTTATTACATATTTACATAATATATGACATTACTTAAGGGGGGGAGGGTTATAACTCGTTAGTCCTCCCCCCTTATAACCCTGTCTGATTGCTCGCGTATCTGTACAAGCAATTTTCTATCGATATCTGATACAATGCATATGAACGTTTGTAAATGTAGTATTATTCTAGGTGTTGACATAATTCTATGTTTCAGCTGTTTTCTAGTGTCTGACATATTCGAAGCCGAACGATGAAATTACAATGAATTGAGAAAAAACTCGACAAACTCATTATAAAGCATGAAAAAAACCGTAGGGTGTATGCTCGGTGTTATATGCATTAGATATTGAATACAAAAATTATTTATTAATACGGTTTATTTTTAATTTCAATCGTTATTCTAATAGTTCACTTTTGTACACTTATAGATACAGACATTGTTTTTACGTTGGCAGTTATATGTATATATCGCCGAATTTAGAAAGTAAAAGAGCTATGACGTTAACGTACCTCTTATTATAATACAATGATTTAATGGGCAAATTTCAAATCATATATACGGCTACTACAATATCTACGCGTTATTTCATCGGTGCGCAGTTAATAAATAGTAAAGCGGGTAATGATGTCAGCATTGAATTCTGCAATTTTTCAATAACTCGAGGGCACATATTATAAACGTGAATACAACGTACAGTTAGGACTATTACAAAACATAAATTAATATGTATTTGTATATTGATAAAAATATTTGTTGCATGCCGTTATAGTAAATACTATGTTTACTATGTGACTGATACGATGTGTTCGACTCTTTTTCCATCAAAGATTTCGATAAACATATAATATCGCTGTAAAGAGAGTAGACCACCTCGTTACCCGCCCAAGCTACAAGGGAATACGGATCTGCGATTGGCCTACCCTTTACGATGTTCAGTTATGGTAGCAGGTAGTTGCATAACTGTACTAAAAATAAACTACATAATCTCTGGGCGATCGTTATGACGTCGAGTGTGTTGGTGGACGTCCTTTTTTTTTTTTTTTGTTAGTCAACACTTTATACCTTTTGTTTCCGAAATCCTTATACACTCCATTGCGGTAAATACTATTAGTTAGCCCTACCGCCGATGAGTTTTCTATGTTTTCTATAGCAAACGTGTGCTATTTAATACTGTATACTCGATACGTTCGCCTGATAAAAAACGTATTCGCAGAAGAATTATTTAAATTCCTAATTAGGATTTCCTGCAGGGATGATTCGATAATGATTGCTTTCGTGAATATATTAATAAATAAAGCGGTGTTGCATGTTATATATTTATCTATGTATTGAAACTGATGATAAACTGTGTAAGGACGAAAAAAAATAAAAATAAAATTACCAAACGAATATAAATCGTTTTTACCACCACAGATGGCACTATTAATATGTCAAACGTATTATTTCTTAATATAATATAGTTTTACAATATTGTGTGAAATAATATATACATATATATTAATCGATTCAAAGGAATGAAGAATGACGCACAAATACGGTAAACAACAATTTATAACAGTCACCTGAAATGTCTTTAAATGAATATCGATTTTTAATATACATAGCTTCACATATATATTAGATATATATTTCAAGTATGAGACTCTATTCATTGTTGATGAATTAAGTTTTCATAAAAAAAAAATTAAAAAAATGAAATATTATAATAACTGACGAACATTTTAATAACTAAAGCTCATAGTATTATTATATATATTTGTATATGTATTGTACTACCGTAAAAATATTTTAAAAACTGTTTCCTTGAAGTCTTTTCACCGCAAAATTTTAATTTTTGTAGTAATATCATTACATTTAGTATGCTTTACATACATTTTTAATTTCATCTTTTGAAATAAACTATTTTTGAAAAATGTCCATTTACATTATATATTCAACATGGAACTCTTAGTTCATTAGCTAAAAGCATAGACGAAACTAGACATTTTAATATTAAATTAGGCAAGAGTATTGACCTTCTAGATTCTAGAAGATAAAATTTTACGCCGAAACAGCGGTGGATATAGGATGCATGACGGTATCGACAATAAGAAATATTTCGGAAATCACTTCCTCAGAATAATCACGGTTCGTAAAAATGGTTTTTCTTAGTCACTAAAAATATATTCCGGTACTCTTAAATATATCTGTTCCAAAAATGTAATGGATTAATATTATCGGCGCACAGGTTTAATGCAAGTTGAAATGGAATAATATTACGGCTTTTGTTCCGTTCAAACTTAAACATTTTATCCGTTATCTGTTTAGTTGTGTATATACTTCCATTACAGTCGTCTCATAAAAAGAAAACAAGAGAGACTGGCTTTCGCTGATACAATGAACGCATTTCAACGAAAATTTCTTATCGTCAAATCCAATCCAGAGAGGGTAATGGTGCAATACTCGTTAGGCGGCAGTCCTGACTTTCGTTTCCTGGTTGGTAATACTTACTCGGGCTGAATATTACGTCCAAGACGACGAGAGGGTATTGAACATCCGATGAACACGTGACGTGTGTGTTCCCGAGCTGACACTGCAAATGTACGAGTATGTGTCGAAAGCCATATGTGCGATCATATTTCGAAGACTTTAAATCGTTATTCACATTTTGAATAATATTAGTTAATTTTTTTCATTTGTAAAATATAACTTACGTAGTTATTATAATTAACTAACACTAATTCCAAAAGTTTGATAACAAAAAAAAAAAAAAAAAAAATCGTTAGAGAATCAATATACATTTAACTTGGTTAAAAATCATAATAATTTTATGCAAAATAAAATGTTTAATGAACAAGTGAGAAATATTAATTGGTTTTTAATACCTATATTAAAACTCTAATGGTATATTTCATATATATTTTCTCATGAGTTCATTGTTCGTTAACAAAAAATATACAATACATTGTTATTTAATTTGATTGGGTGTGGTTTTTTTTTTTTTTTTAACACAGGTAACAATATAGGATTATCATATTTTACCCAAGCACTTAGATGTACGCTCGACGTTGAATTTTATTTGACATGGAATGTGTTTATCGAGTTCTACAAAGTTATTTTTTGAGTACTTATTGGTCCTGTTTATACGGGTGACGAATGAAAGCCGAAGGCTACTCGTTTTTATTTTGTCATAGACTCTTTGTGACGTAAATGTTTCACTCACACATACACACACACACACACACACACACACACACACACACACACACACACACACACACACACACACACACACAATCATATCACGTAAACCGTTAAAATATAAATCCAACAAGAATTTAAAATATCATTACTCCCTGTGAAGATATTTTAGAATGTCGAGTCCTTCAAGATGATTTCAATGATTTCAGTAAAAAATTCGATACCATTTGAAAACGATCGGGCATATATTATACGTATTATAACTCATTACTTCGCGCTTTGTATGCTATATAATGAAACCGTTGACTTTGACATTTTTAATTAATAAGTAATGATCAAACCGTTCAAATGATGTTGTACTGTATAGCAGCAAACGTTGGATATAGTTTTCAAACGAAAAGTGTAACTCGGGCGTATTGTATATAACCCAGTAGTACGTATTGCAATATAAAATCGCGTTTGATATTTAAAGTAAGAGTGTTTAACCGTTATGAGCTGCATCTGGTCAAAGAGGTCAAAGATCAAAATTAATATGATTAGAAATTATCTTGATTAATGATTAAGATTAACTGGATGCTTAGAGCGATGAACAAGTTTTAACACAGTAAAAACGAAATTGTTACATTTACAACAGACCAACGCAGCGGGTTACTAATGTTTACATTGTCAACACAAATCTTTCTTGAAAGACGGTCATCGCACATATCGAATGATTTCTTACTTTATGATTTCCTTATGAACGTTTCTCACGAGGTTTGCGATTTACACAATGAACTCTCGGATCACGGGAAAATACAGTTATTATTATTGACTCAAGATCTAGGGCACAGCTCGTCGATCGATCCGCAAACGCATAATACAACACGTTATTTTTCCCTCTCACAGTTTATAGTTTGAAGTATGATTGCGTCACAACAATCGCTTAAAATCGATAAAATACCCGTTCGCGTGTTTTTCCTTCCTGATATCGTGTACGCGTATGTTGGTTTAGTCTGCTGTAATCGTAGTTGCGTTATTCCAAAAAACCTGTACGCCCCGGAAAAAAGGAAAATCGTGTATGTAAACGTAATATACGAGCAAAAAGAGGAAATGTATAACGCGTGTATGAAATGCCATCCCCCCTTGTAAACACTATCAACACGTGTTAACAGCGCGCAGCAGCCATGCAAATTATATTCTAAAGCCTCCGCGATTGCGCGCCAACAAACTCGTAATGAACTGTTCGGATAAAAAAATTAAATTTCAACAGCTCTCGTGACCATCGCGAGAGAAACTTATTTTCGCAACGCGAACCTGGTTTAACAACACACATACACACACACTCACTTAAAAAAAATTCGTATAATAATATGTACTCGAATAGTTGTAAAAACAAGCTTAAGGACAAATGACATTGAACATCTGTAACGTATGAACTGGGTAGTTTATTTAAAGATGTTCATATTTTTTTTTTTT